TCTTGAGCTAGAGATAGTCTTGAAATGTTTTGTTCACTTATAATGTTGAACTTTAAAGTTGTCATTTGATAGATTGTGTGAGAGATCAACAATGGATCAAAATGGTAAATCTCACAATATGAGTTAGAGATAATCATATTGAGAGGATGTTGTGGATGTATTGATCATTAAAAGGAGTTTGTTAAATGTTGATTGGAAATATGCATGCAAAGTGATTACCGAACCCTAACTTTGGCAATATTTATTAAAACCGTTCAAATCATTATTTTACCGCATTTATTACTCACATGCAAAAGTTACCATTGTTTTAAAACCAAACACTTTGTTACTACAAAGTTACGAATTTAACAACTGTAGAAAGGCTGCAAAATTTCATATTCCCTGTGGAGACGATAACAAAAACCCGACACTCAACCACTGTTTTAACAAGGGTGGGGTCCAAAGTCTCACCAAGGGGAGATAATCTAGTAACGGCCGCCATGTCGAAGAGGGTGGGCGTCATCATGCCACACGGAAGATGCAAGGTATTAGTCGATCCTTCCCAGAAGTAGATCGATGCGATGAGTTGGAAGGGATTAACCTTATGAGCCTGTCTCGAGATTTAGATGATGTCGAAGATGCCAACCTTCTCCCATTAGGTCTTGTGTTTGTTTTGAACTTTGTCGATCAAGTATTCTTTATTGCTAGGGGTTGGCATCGATCAGAAAACTTGGGCGTCGGGATCCATGAATTTTAGGTCGATAATGTTATCTTTCTTGAAAGTAGGTGGAATAGCAGGGGTAAAATAAGGGAAGAACTCTTGGACATGTTTCAGGTGCGTTTTGGCTTTGGGATATGGCCCTTAGAAAGCCAGAAGGTTGTCATCCACCACAAAAGGTATCATCATTTGATGCTTCCAGTTTTCCATCGTTGCTTTATTAGTAGATTATGGTTGAGGGACGGTTGTCAAACCTTTTTCATCAGTGAGAGTGAAGGCAATGGGGTTGTTACCGGTGACTGGAGTGACAGAGGCCATTAGAGTATTAGAAGTTGAGAAGTGGAAAGGATGAAGAGTCTGGAGAAACGCAGAAAGAAAAGTGAAGATTGCAAAAGATATAAATTTTCAGTGAATGCAAGGTGAAAAAGAAAGAAGAAGTGGTAAAACTGATATTTATACACGCCGAAAGTCGAACACTTGCAGTGATAGGTGACAATTGACAACGGAGTTATGACCTTTCCACTTCACTGTAGCGGGAAAGTTAGTTGGGGAAGTTGTAAAGCCCATCACCTAGGAAACATCCAAAATCATAGCAATGATGAAAGGGTTTCTGGGAATTCACAGCGCCGAAAAAGTTATCATCATGACGCATGATGTCAGCAGACATGACATAAAGGTGAAATTTGGCAGAATGTAAAACGCCAGTTTCTTGGTTGAAGGAAAATCTCTGTCGAAGCTGGCCTTTTAGAGGGAAATTTGTTAGCTGGCAAATTTTGACCAAGAATACAAGAGTATGGTCGACAGAAAACTGTGAAAAATGTCATGTCGGAGCAACCTCGACAGTGGGCCCGTCAGAGAGGGCATTGAAGCGAACTCGACAGAGAGGCACCTCAGTCGAAGTCGAAGGAATCTCAAGGGCTTCAGGCGAACAAACAGGCTTAGAGCAAATAAAAACATGAGGAGTTACCAAAGTAAAGGACAAACGTGGGGGACACATGGCAACACAGGGATTTGGAAGCAAAGGGATAACCATTACTTTTTTTCCTATTTAAGGAAGTATCGTTTTCAGTTTTAGAGGTCGCTTTTTGTTGGATTATAAGAATACACTCAAAGTATCTGTGTTAGAGAAACGAGTCAAAACTCTGCAGAAGGTATGCATATGTCCAACTTTATTTTCTTGATTAAGCAATTTTACTTTACAAGTTTTTCTTTTCCTTTGCTTGTTGTTTTTCCTTTTTTTGCTATATTTTCCTTGTTATTTGATTTAACGCAACTGTCCATCTATCGTCTGTTCAAACCTAACAAACTAAACTGAAACGTCAACATACATTTAACACATAGTATAGGATTCTTGTAGTCGAGCCTGCACAAGAGGCTAGCGGTTGTTCTCCGAAAATATCGTGCAAACACCAGGTTAAGTATTCATGAAGAGTTATGCATTGATGCTTCAGGGGATGCTGATTATTGTGATCTTCCGTCGTGAACTTGTGTACAATGAAGTCGTTGTACATAGTTCTTAGTTTTTATTCTTAGGCCTTATTGTATAACATGTATGTTTGATGTTTTAGTTTGGACGTGTGTATATAATGATGAGGTTAGACACTTATGATTGTGTTAGTACCAAATGATAACACTTGTATGATATTATTCAAGATATATATTATACGAGTTGTTACAGATTCAAGAGGTGGGCCATTGAATCGCCTTGACAGTCTTAAACTAACTTCGAGTTTATATGGGTATTTTGGATAAAATGAATCTAAGGTCCAAAACAGGGGGAAGTTTAGGAGGCAAAATCAATGGTGGAGATTTATCTCGAGATCACAATGATACTCAAGTGCACTTTAATGCCCTAAACGACAATGTCACTCTCTACACTAAAGGCTCGAAGTCATGTGTAGAGGTAGTAGTGTGAAATGTTTCAATGGTGGGAGTAGCATTTTGTGTACATGTTCTAGAGGCCACTTATTCCCACTCGTCAGGCTTTCCCACTTTCTTTTAAGTGAACCAAAAGTTATCCTATAAAGGAAATGACGATATTAAAAGGCTTCCGAACAATGTCAACCCTTATTTAACCAAATATCTGCAGGGACTTGGGGGACAAGTGTTTCGGGCCAGCCAAAGGCCCGGTTATAAGGCCTAATTTGCAGTATTCATTCAACGGATAAAGGAACATATGGAACCTTGTCAAAAGTTGGACACTTGATCCCAACTACTAGTGCATCGTCCTTCCTTTGATCTGAACGAACGACTCCTCACATATCACATCAGATTAAACTGAAGTAGTTGTAACTGTATACTATAAATAAGCTCAATAATGTGTCATTTTAGGTATGATCTTACTCTTACTAGCATTATCACTTCTCCTCCACAATTTGCTGACTTGGATGTTAAAATGTTAATCTTTCAGACTTACCCCACTCCGTTGTACTGAATACTGTCGTCGGCACACTAAAAGAATTCGTTTTAGCGAACCTTGTTCCTTTTGCATCTATCATTTTTTATCCCACAACAAAACAAATATATTAGTCATTGGTATTTAATTTGTTTTAATATTATTTATTAGTTTAGATTTAATCTATTTTTTCTATTTTATTTATTTAAATTATAATTGACCATTGTCATTCCATAATATTAATTTTGAATATATTACATAAAATTAATTATTTTAGTGTTTTTCTAATATTATAATTTATATATTAAAAAATTTATCAAAAATATAATCGCATATCATATTGGATCGAATTGTTTAACTCATTAAAACTCAAAACTTGAATAATTTGATCTTTGAATCATACAAATTTTTACTTTAAAATCCAACAATTCGCATGGCAAACACCCCTATAAAAAGTAAAATTTATTTACATTATTTTTTGAACTTATTTCAAACTTAAATCAAGTGAAACTAAATTTGTATCCTATAAACAACATCTGATATTCAACTTTTATAAGTTAAACTAAATGTGATTGAAAGACAAGAGACTCCACTAAATGTAATCTTTCAAAATCTCCAACAGAATTCAACTATTGACAAAGTTGTTAACATGATTAAAAAATGAAGTGAAATTGTATGAGCCTCACATCTACCCTAATAAATTATATACCATCCTAGGATGTGCTGCGGCATCACTCTCATAAAGGTATGAATCAAAACGTGAGGTGGGAACTTTATTCACTATAACCATGCTGTTCGTTGCATTCAATATTATAATTTGAAAGATCACCTACTAAAGCAAAACCTAACTAATATAGATACCATTCCAAATTAACCGATTCTCTTTCATCACTCTCAAGTTAAACCTAATAGAGTAATTTGAAAACAACGTAAGACCCTCCAAAAACATCACACTATGTCCTACACCTTACATATTAATATTCTCTCTTGATATTGAGGTGAGGTCTATCCTGGTTCTGATAAATTTTACTGTCAGATTAAAAATTACATATAACTGTCTTTTATTATCTCTAAATTATTAAATAATTAATATATCTGATCTAAAATATCTGTATATAATATACTTAAAACGTGATAGTGGTCCTTCCTTATTTATATACATCATAGATATGATGCAACTATATGAAATGCCAAAATGTCTTATTGTAGTAATGCACGTTAGTGCTCCAAACAACTGTACTAGTAGTGTTTTTTGAGTGTTGGATTTTGAAAATAAATTTGAATATTGTGTCACTTTGTTAAAACTTTATGAAAAAGAAAAGTCGATGTGGTGTATAAATTCTTGTGTTTGGTAACATCGATAACATTGCCGTGTGGGTTCAGTTGCAGGTGAGAATGTCTTCTTTTGCTATGTGATTTTCCCTCCATACCCATCAACAAATTTAACGTAACACATAACTTTAAAATTTTGTGGACCGTTCGATTTGGATGATATAGCTTCCAAATTCTTCAATTTCCCAAAGTTTAACTTTACTTTGCTTAGTCTAACATTGATTCTCTTTGTGTTGTTCTGTTCATGAAATTCATGCTTTTCAACGGCCACACCTCATCATTTATATTTGAAACGTAAATAGTTTTCAAATTTAAAAAAAAAAAAAAAACTTTGGAGAAAAAAAAGTAAAGGGAATTGAATAAGCATAATGGATTATATGAAATTAAAGTCTCCTAAACAGTTACAAAAGGCTAATTAAACCTAACGCACTCAATACAAGGAAGAAAAAAATGTGTACACTAACTCGGGTCCGATTGAACCGGGTCTAAAATCTACTTTCTCTGTCTAGTTTTTTTTCCTTCCTTTTTTAAATAAAAAAGGGAAATTAATTAAATTAAATATAAAAAAATAATAAATCAAAAACTGGGAACAACCGGAGAAGGGGACAAACCGGTTTTGGTTTCGGTTTCAATTTCAACTTCAACACCACCAACAACCTCCTTCTTCCGCCGCATTTCAAGCACCTTCCGGTGGTGGTTGGAGTGCAATTCACTTGAAAATGTAGGGCTACAAGCGGGTCGATACTCGGGTAATAACCGACCCGATTTATAACGGACCCCACAAGCATTACAAAGCGTTTTTGCTCCAAGTGGTCCAGTTCTCCACTGAGGTGTCTTCTGAACACCGCAATGACTGCACCGTCGCGGCGCCAGAGCCACCGCGCCGTGACCCGAACCACTGAAACATGTCATTTTCTTCGGTTTCCTCGCCGGAACCGAGTCAAAACTTTGCGGTACGTTGGTGTAAATCAACAAGGGGCTGGTAGGAGAGGAAGAGGTTGAAGATGAAGTTGAGCTCGTAGAAGAATCTGTTAAAGAAGTTGACCCGAATGGCCAAACCCGAACACCGGTTCTTGTTCTTTTGCTTCTAGCTTTGGTCTGAACCGGTGTTTTGAAAGTAAAAACCGGGTTTTTCTTCTCCGGCTTCGGCTCAGGAAGAACCATCGGTTTTTTCTCCGTCGTTGTTAAGGTAATAACCGGCATAGCAGCAGAGAATTCCGAGAAGGAATCAGAATCTTCAACAAAATGAGAAAGCCATTCCAAGTCCGCAACATCGTCACTCTGTAATTAAAAATTGAAACTTTCGTTAACAAAATCCAACGTAATTACATAAAGAACTAAACAAAACAACATAGTTTCGATTTTTTTAAGGTTTATAAAAACTGTCTGAAACTAAATTTTTTTAAAAATAAAATAAATAAATAACAAAATGCACCGGAACATTGAGGTCGCTGGTGGGTAAAGAACCGTAATCTTGTTGGAGAGAGAAAGTGTTGTCAAGGTTAGAAATTTCATTGCTCTGTTTGAGAGTGACACAAACATAGTCTTGTTGTTCTTCATCCTCGTTTTGTTCTTCTTCTTCCACGTGAGAGAAATCAAGGAGGTCGTCAACGAAAAATTCGTCCGAGGTTGTTCCATTTGGTCCATTAAGTCCTGTAACCTCGTCGACAATTGTTTGAGGTACCATGTCTTTCCTTAAACTCGTTTTCAACGCTGTTTCAACGCACTCCATTTCTGTTTTCTCAAACTATAAATAACAAAACAAAACAAACAACAACGAATGTTAAAAAAAAAAAAACTTTTTTAAAAAAAATTGAAATAATTACTCATGCTACTTACTAATAAATAATAATACCTGGTGAAGAGGTAGATGAGAAAAGAGAGGAACTTGTTGGGGAATGGTGGAAGAAGAAGAAGATGAAGGTAAAGGATGAAATTGAAAGAGAAGAGGATAGGGAGTTTGGTAAAGCATTGAATAAGGGGTGAAAACGTCAAGGGATTTATTATTACTATAAAGTGTCTGTTTCTTTCTCTCTCTAGTATACCCTTTTCTCTCTCTCTCTATGCAGTATATGTAATAATGTAACATTTGAAATATACGTTTTTACTATGTTTTTTTGATACGTAACGGTAGAGGGTCACAAATTTAATGAAAAATTAAAAACATAAACCTGAAATTTCTAACGAGGATTCCTTGTTATGTTTTTTGTAGGAATAAGACGAATCGTACTTGGTACTTAGGACCGTATCTACGATTTTAGAACTGTTTGATTTTATTTATGTTGCAAGTTAGGGTGGTGCTCTCTGTGTCTTATTCACTGTGTGTGTTATCTTTTGTTACTGGAAAAACCAAAATTTGTGAGACCTAGGAAACTACGATATTTATTTGAAAAAAATAATAATAAAAGAAAATGGATGTTCTGTTTTTTAACTTTTTGTTTTCCTATTAAGATTTGAAAATTGGAAAATTAAGATAAATGTTTCACTAAATAACCTTTTATGTCTTCTTGTTGCTCACTGTGTTGTTCGCCGCTCATTTTGGATTTGCTTGTTCGTTTCTATGATACTATCCTATCCTTTACTTTTCCCGCTTTCTATTTTCTAATTACTAGTTTTACATTTACTATACAAAATTAAGGGTGGTAAATGATAATGAAAATTTGAAAGGAGAAATTAATTTGTACCTCAAGCCAAAGAATATATTACAAATAAAAAAGAAAAATATAACTTTTTTACTGCATATGTCTTTGAGTAATTTATTTGAGACGATTATTATGTTTGATTATATTTTAATTTTTCAATTTTTAATGCAAAATTGTAATGATTAAATATAGTTTTATACTGTCAATAAATAGTTTTTTTATTTATTTGTATAACTTATTATTAGCTTATATGTATTATTATTTTATTTCTATTCAATTATTTATTAATGTAATTTCAATTAGCATAGTTGGTGAGCCATCATTGGTTCATATAACTGTTATATATATATATATATATATATATATATATATATATATATATATATATATATATATATATATATATATATATATATATATATATATATATATATATATATATATATATATATATATATATATATATATATATATATATATATATATATATATATATATATATATATATATATATATATATATATATATATATATATATATCAGTTTCACAGTTTTTACTCAAGTAATTAGCAATTATTAGCATTTTTCATCTTATCTTCTTGCTTTGTACTTTCTGTTACATATTTTTTCTCTCTGAGTTTTGTTAACTTTTTTGAAGATCTTTTATTATCAACATGGTATCAGAGCTTAACAAACTTTGATAGTCATTGTTATTGATGGAACCCTAATCAAGCCTCATGTTTCAGATCCTTTCTATGTGTCATGAATTCGCTGCAACACTATGGTTCTTGCATGCATTCGGCGATCAATTTTGGAGTCCATTACAAATTCGATACTTTGGATCGATAACACAACTGATGTGTAGAAGAATTTGCAGCTTAGGTTTTCACACAACGACATTTTTCGCATTTTCGATATTCAAGAAGATCTCTACAAATTTCGTCAAGGTACTCTCGATGTTTCTAACTATTTCACTCAATTGAAGGTCATGTGGGATGAGCTAGAAAATTATCGACCGATTCCTCTTTGTTCGTGTTTAATTTCGTGTTCATGTGGTGCAATTGCATCAACCCGGAAGTATAGAGAGCAAGATTATGTCATACAATTTCTCAAGGGATTAAACAAAAAGTTTGTACATTCGAAGTCGCAGATTACACTACGCCAGAAATGAGTTTTAGCAGCACACCCTTTAGCAGCGCTTCTTAAATAAGCGCTGCTAAAGGGTGGGTAAAAAAAAAGAAAAAAAATGTCCCACCTAAGACAGCGCTTTTGAAAAAGCGCTGCTAAAGGGGGGGCCCTAAGAAAGCGCTTTTTAAAAAGCGCTGCAAAGGGGTGGCCTAAGAAAGCGCTTTTAAAAAGTGCTGCTAAAGGGGGACCTAAGAAAGCGCTTTTAAAAAGCGCTGTTAAAGGTGTCCCCTTTAGCAGCGCTTATTCTATAAAGCGCTGCTATATGGAATTGCTAAGGCACCCTAAGAAGGCGCTTTTAAAAGCGCTGCTAAAGGCCTTTAAAAGCACTGCTAAAGGGGGACTTAAAGGGGGACCTAAGAAAGCGCTTTTAAAAAGCGCTGCTAAAGGGGGCCCTTTAGCAGCGCTTTTTCTATAAAGCGCTGCTATATGGCATTGCTAAGGCACCCTAAGAAAGCGCTTTTAAAAGCGCTGCTAAAGACCTTTAAAAGCGCTGTTATAGGTATTAATATTATAATTTTAAAATACCCTCCAGAATTTTAAGAGAAACAGAACAGTCGTGTACATTTCTTTTCTTCTGTCTTTCTCCTCTGGCGAACAAACTTGCCCTATTCAAACTTTCTGTTGCCGTCATCCGCCGTCCGACCGTCTCCCGTCGTCCGTTCACCGTCCGTTTTCGAGTGCATCTGTGTCTGCATTGCATTTCCACCATTGTTAAGGTATGTGACAGTTTCAAGGGATTTTCTTGTTTTTTTTTCTTTTCACCATTGTTGGTATTTGAAGACATTAAAGGTTTTGAAGGTTGTTGTTAATACTGTTGTTGTGAATAGGATACCGTTAAACAAAGTATACACGGTTTCTTAATGATCAAGAAACACACAAGGGTTAAGGTTAACAAAGAAGACAAGGTAAAATAACAAGGAACAACAAGGATTGGTTATTAAACTGCTATTCTTTCCTTTCTCTTAGAACAAGATTACAAGTATACAAGAATAACAAAATAACCTCTCTCCCTTGAAATTAGGATTTTATCTTCCTATTTTTCCTTATTCTCAAGATTGAGAAACTAGCATCCTATTTATAATAAAATAGCACACTAACCTAATGAACTTTTTAACAATTACCCATTACAAGCTAACTTAGGGTACAAGCTAACTTAAACAATTGGGCTTACAAGCAAGACCCAATTCAACATGCTAACAACCCTAGCAATATTTACTCATGCTAACAACCTTAGCAATATTTACTCATGCTAACAACCTTAGCAATATTTACTCATGCATGTTAGAACAAACTTCGACTACAACACGCATTACTTGCGAACAGACTTCGACCACACTAGAGTTCGATCCAATGTCTCACAAATCTCCACCTTGGATCTAACTCTATAACATCAAGAAACTAGCTTTCTTCATGCAGATTTATTAACTGCATACAGTGGAAAAACTTGCAACTGGGCAACGTCTCTTCTTTTTCTGTTAACGCGGTGTCCATGCCTGCCTCACCCTTCAACGCTTTCAAACAACTCTGCTGAACCAACAGGGCTTTCATCTTCAAGCGCCACAGACCGAAGTCGTTCACTCCGGCGAACTTTTCAATCTCATACTTTGTTGAAGGCATCTTTTCCACGCTCACCGCACCAATTTGTTGTGAAGGCATCTTGCCTAATATGAGCATAGGTCCTGTTGTGAAGCATAGATCCATTCGAATGTTGCTTGCCATGGTGGCCCAGTTCGACCTTGAACTGGAACAGATGGATGTGAAGACTGCATTCTTGTATGGTAATCTAGATGAAACAATCCTGATGAGGCAACCTGAAGGGTATGTCGAAAGGGGGAAGGAAGATTATGTGTGCAAACTGAATAGATCTTTATATGGACTGAAACAATCTCCTCGACAGTGGAATAGGAGATTCGACAAGTTCATGGCACACATAAGTTTCATCAGAAGCCAGTTCGACCACTGTGTTTACTTCAGATTTCGACCGGGTAATTCATTTGTTATTTTGTTGCTCTATGTGGATGATATTCTAATAGCAAGCAACAATGTCGAAGAGGTAATGAGGGTGAAGGCTGAACTCAATAAAGAGTTCGAAATGAAGGATCTGGGAGCTGCGTCCAGGATTCTTGGGATTGACATCCGGAGAGATAGAAAGCATTCGAAATTATGCTTATCTCAAGAGGCATATCTACAGAAGGTTCTCGAAAAGTTTGGTATGTCGAATTCAAAGCCTGTTGTGACTCCGACAAACCCTCAATTCAAGCTGAGTATAAATCAGTGTCCCAGCACTGATGTTGAAAGAACTTATATGAATAGCATTCCATATGCTAACATAGTAGGTTCTTTGATGTATGCTATGATCTGTACTAGACCCGACATAGCATATGCAGTAAGTCTTGTAAGAGATACAAGGCAAGATTGGTTGCTAGGGGATTCACTCAGAAAGACGGGCATGATCGAGAAAGCCCACAGCGCAATATTATTGAGCCTTGGTGATAAGGTTCTTCGACAGGTATCAAAGGAGACTACAGCATCGGGATTATGGGTGAAACTTGAAAGTTTGTACATGACCAAATCTCTGGTGAATCGACTATACCTGAAGCAAGCTTTATATTCATTCAAGATGAGTGAAGACAAAGTGTTGGCTGAGCAGTTGGATATGTTCAACAAGCTGATTCTTGATCTTGAAAATATTGATGTGAAGATCGATGATGAAGATCAAGCACTATTGTTGCTGTGTGCTTTGCCCAGAACACATGCTCACTTCAAAGAAACTCTCTTGTATGGAAGGGAGTCCCTGACCTTTGAAGAAGTTCAATCAGCCTTGTATTCTAAGGACTTGAACGAACGAAAGGAGCATAAACCTTCGACGGTGGGCGAAGGTTTGGCCGTTAAGGGAAAATTCTTGCGAAAGGATGGTAAGTTCGACAAGTTTAAAGGTATCCGATTCACAACAACTGTTATCTAAATATTGATGGTTTTTCTTTTCACCATTGTTGGTATTTGATGGTTTTTCTATATATTTGTTTTCACCATTGTTGGTATACTATTGTTTTTGTTGTTGGTATACTATTGTTTTTGTTATCTAAATATTGATGGTTTTTCTTTTCACCATTGTTGGTATACTATTGTTTTTGTTGTTGTGTAGATATGTTTCTTTTGAGGACATGCAAGTAAATTTTAGTGTTGATAACGTATATTGTTGTTGAGTAATTGTTTTTGTTGTTGCGTTCAAGTATGATACGTATATTGTTGTTTTGTA